TTATTTTGTTTGCGAACTAATTTATCATTAGCTGTCGAATCGATTGGTGACAAAGGAGGCGATAAATCGTAGGAGTAATCAGATGATGCAGAAATCGGATGTGGTAACAACTGCGAAGGTTCTTGTGAATTATAATTAATATTGTCGTTGATATTATTATTATTATTAAAAATTTTTTAAAAAATTAAATAATAACATCTTTATATATATATATATATATATATATATAGATACAAAATAATGAAAATAATTCAAATGAAACTGGTTTAGCTCCTGGTTATTCAGATCAATCAATATATTCTCCAGAACCTTTGATTATCATGACAAATGAACTACTCAATTGGGATTCATTATTATCTAGCATTATTTTATCTATTCAACAACTACACAATGCTGCTAAAGAGAATGCTAAACATGATTTCATCGTCTGTACTAATTCTATTGTTGAAAGGATTCGGATTATGCTTTATGCCTCCGGTACAATTGATAAAGAATCATATACTATCCGAGAAAATAAAAATTTAAAACTTTTTCATAGACGTATAATGGCATCATTATCAAAACTGGTACTAAGCACAAAAATAGCTGCTGGTGTATGGCCCCCTCCTGATTCAAATCAAAAATTGAGGAATGATGTGGATGAAGTTCTTGAAGCTGTCCAACAATTTGTTCAAATTTCAAAAAATATTGTGGAAATCAGACGTGTTGATCCTAGAATTTTACAGAGTTCTTATGGTGGTTCATGGCGTGGTAATAATTTAAGGCCAATGTTAACAAACAATCGACATCGTAGAAATCCCTCTTTGCTATTAAAGTATAAAAGTGGTAGTGATTCAAATGGTTTTGCAGCTCCGTCGCAACATCTAACTGATGGTTTGGTTATTTCTATTGATCAAAATTCGAAATTTATTTTCAAAACAATTAATTCATTAATGAGTGACATCAACAGTATACGAGATGCTTCATTGAATAATAATGCATCATCAAAAAATATTAATGATATGGCTCAATTATTTAATCAAGTACATCAAATTATAAAACAAAGTGGTCAATTTTTATCCATGCTAGAAGACATCGATTTAAAAGATTTAGATGAGTATAGTCAATCTTTTATAAATGAATTTGAAGTCGCAAAGCAATTTATATATAATAGCATTGCAAGTTTAATAATTGTTATACAGGCTTCGATTGATCCTTTGAATCAACGTGATGTTTTAGAAGAACTTATAAATTCAGCAAATATTGTTGAAAAATCAGTAAAAGATGTTATAATAGCACTAAAGTTCCTATTGGAAGAAAAGGAATCAAGAGTACAGAATAGAGATTATTTAATGCAAAATAATAATTTTTCTTCTTCTTCTTCTTCTTCTTCTGAAAATTTGACTTTGAACAAAAATGATAATAATAATCATCATGAAAAAAATCCTGTGTCGTTAATAGAAGTTAAGGATCAGAACGTAATTAAAGGAAATAATAACATTGATATTAACGCTATTAATGACGATAATAATAATAATAATAATAATAATAATAATAATAATAATAATAATAATAATAATAATAATAACAATAATAATAATAACAATAATAATAATAACAATAATAATAATAATAAAGTTAATAATGATGGTAGAATTTTTTTAAATATTTCTAGTATTTTAAAACCTTTAGAAATAGATAGTTCACATTATTTATACAAGTCATTAATTGGACCATTTAAGAGCATTGGTAAATATGAATATGAAATAATTCATCAACCAAATGGAAATTGCGCAAACAATATCAATTATAAACCAATTATTATTGCATCAAGCACATTTACCCTATTTCCTAATTTATCATTACCATCGTCACCAACATCATCATCACTTTCCAACATGTCATTACCTTCCATGTCATCGTCATCACTATCATCAATATATCCTATAAAAATATTGGGATTTTCTGATAATCAATATAATTTAAAAACATTTAATAAAATTGTTAAATCAGCATCAATACTGCACAATCAACCTAACTTTATATTACATGTTGGTGATCCTGTACAGAAATTTGATAGTTTACAGCAATGGCAAACTGATTTTTTTGATCCATTAATCAATTATAAATTAATCCAAAAATCACCAATGATTTTTGCTCATGGTAACCATGATTTTAATCCATTGTTAAATTACCATTACACAACAAATAAATTATGGTATTCATTCACTATAGCAAATACACGTTGGATAGTATTGGATAGTAATATTGATGATGAGTTACAAGATAAATGGTTGATAAAAGAGTTGTCATCAATCGAATCAAAATTGGCCAAGTTTCGTATTGTGGTGGTACATATACCACCATTTGTTGAATTTTGGGATCCAAAATCCTGGAATGAGAAATCAGAAAAATATTGGGGTGATTTTGTTAGGAAGAGGTATGTACCTCTATTTCAAAGATATGAAGTTGATTTGGTGATAAGTGGACATCAACATAATTACCAACGTGGTCAATTCGATGGTACTGTTTACACCATAATTGGTGGTGCAGGTGGCGAATTAGATTATGAGAGAGTTGAAGATTGGAAAATTTATTCAATTGTTAAAAAAATTCATCATTACGTGTTGATTGAAATTTGGTCTGATAAATTGATTTGGGTAGTTTATGATATTAATAATAAAGTTATTGATAAATTTGAGTTAGGAAAGAGAGCCATTTTTACTTAATATTTATTTTTTTAATTATTTTTTTTTGTAAATACATGATTTTTATTATTCTAATAATTAATTATAATTTTAATATGTACATATACTTTTTTATATTATGTAACACTAAAAAGTTTATGACATCTTTGAGAAAAACAGTTATTAATATTAGTAGTATTTTTAAACATACTGTTTTTCCATATTATTTTGTGAGGCCATATATTTTCTTTTTATTAATATGAATAATGATGCAAAGGTAAAAAAGAAGCCAGCTTTAATATTGCACAGCCACCTTTAATACTTAAAATCACTGCAAAATACAACAAAAAATAAGCACATCCCTCTACATAAATATTGAAAACCCAAGTGATTTTTTACAAAAAATCATTATTTTTTTAAAATTAGTCGTTGGGAAATATGTAAGTCGAAGAAATAATTCATGAACATGCATGGGAAGGAAAATTCTCGGCTCCCGTCTAAAGTCAATTCCAATATAGTCGCTTATGTGCATTAGGTATCAGGTAATTTTATTATTAATTTATTATTAATTAGATAATCAATAATTATCTACATAATTAGACCTGTTGGTTGATGAATATGGCAGAAACCTACCAGATTCATCATTTGTTGGCGCGGAATTTCTTGATTTTTAAAAGTGAACAGCTACAAAGCATGGCCTTTATTAAAGTTAATTAATCATCTACAAAATTTTATGTGTCACTAAACCTGGTGAATGGATAAAATTTACAATCAATCGGTCCATTCGTGCAAAAATACTTTGTAATGAACGTATGTTTATGGAGGGCCTTTTGTGTGTGTGGATTTTTTTGCGGAATGAAATCGAAAAGGTATTTGAGGTTTTCCATTAGGTAATTATTTATTGGAAGTTTAGTGAAAAAATTTTTAAAAATAATAATTATAAATTTCATTGATGGTTTTTTTTGTTTGAAAGAATTTGGAGAAACATTGAAACCATATTTCACATCTACTTTAAATAAATCGGAAGAAATTGAAGACGTGATTTTCAAAAGTTTTAATGAATTCTATGAATATAAATCTTACATAGTAAAAAAATAAAAAAATATAAAGAATAATTATAATTATAAATAGTTTTTGTTAGTTTCCATTTTATATTAAATATTTAATTTTCGACGTAATTAATAATGTACAAAAAAAAACAACATATATTTTATAAAAACATTGTTTGCGATCATGTTTTAATGAAGAATGCTTTAGTCGTCATCATCCTCTTCTTCATAATTTTTCTCACATGTGTATTTTTTTCCTCCAATTTTTGTTAGCAATGTAATTGTTATGACGTAAATTGCGATTGTAATTATAATAGTTATAATGGTAGATTTAGTTTTTATAGTGATGTGGCAGTAGTAGTTTCACCTATAATATTACTTTTTGATCCACTACGACGACGGCTTCCATCCAAACTACTGCTGCTGCTGGTTCTTGTATGTGATAATTTCAAAGGTCTTAATCCACGATGCATACTTTCTTTTCGTCGTCTTTTATAAATGCAAATTATAATAAATATTACACCGATCAATAGAACGCTGATAGTAATTCCCAAAATTGTTTTTGCAAACGGTGCATTCAACGCCAAACTATTATTAGTATTACTGTCACTAGTAGAATTGGTAGTAGTATTATTACTTGAATTTATACTACTAACTGATGTGGTAATGCCGGTGGATGTAATTGATGTAGCAGTTACAGGTGCAGTAATTGTTGTTGCTATTGGATCTGCTTCTATTTTCAACCATGAATCTAAAGACTGTGAATTTGGGGTTTTTTTATCATTCCAATTGCATATTTCATATATACATTTGCCTTCTGGAAAACAATCTTTGTCCCTTGAACATTTAAAAACACATTCTCCTTCTAAACATATTACATCGTCATTGTAAAATTCGCAATCATCATCTTCAATACATTCCATGGATAATAAAATTTATTTGTTATTTATTACAGTGTTGGGGGTTTTTTTTTCTTGAGAGAAAAAATTATTTTTTTTGAATGGCTGTGTATTTATTTATTTATTTATCATTAATCATTACGACAATTATTATTGTCAAAAAAAGTATCTTGTTACTAAATGGCATAGCTTACAAAGCCACTTGTTCTCCTTTGAATGTGCAGAGTGTCATCAAAACCAAAAGAGCAAATGAATCATCATCATACCTTTTAACATCTGTTGATGGTTAAGATAAGCAATTTTTTAAAAAAACAATACTTTAGAGGCAAAGAAATTTCATATATATATGAGAATAATGGATTGAGTTTTTTTCTTTTTTGCAATTTATAATAAATATTATGATAATAATAAGGTTATCTATTATCATTACATTGACAATAAAAATTACTCCTTTAAAAAAAAATGTAAGGTAGTACAATCAGGTGACTAATCCAAAGATATTTTTTTAATTTCAAGATAGTTCCTCACAGACTTGTATTGTATATGGTACACTAGGCTTGCACAATCCCTTAGGATTATCGTATCAAAGCATAGAATGTATTAACTGTACTGCTATAAAACCTCAGGATCCATTGCCGTTGCTGTGCATCAAGTCTGTTCTAAGCCTCTCGTTACAACACCAGTCAATTCGTAACACAATATAAAAATATCTGGGAAGGTTTAAAATAACTGGTTATTCATTATATGATGTTCCCAATAAATTTATTTGCAATCGAGTGAAAAAGGATCGTTCATAATTTTTATTTCATTATTTAGGAATATAACAAAAAAAACTTTACGGTGAAAAAATTTTATTTATTTATTTATCATAGAAAGCAATAAAATTTGTAAAAATTCTTAATTAATAATCAACAGCAATAAAACACACACATATATCTATATGTGTGAATATTTTTATAAATGAAAAAATAATAATAATTCATCTCAACCAAACAAAACTTTTTCTTATGTCCAAGCAACATTACCAGTACCAGTAATGAACCCGGTAACTACTCCAAATATATAAGTAGCCAATTCCAAAACCCTAGGTGGTAAAATACTAGTTGCATAGGCCGGCAAATATTCAACGAAAGGCCAAGTAATTTCAAATCGATTTTCAAGCAATTGCCATTGAATAATTTTTGCCAATGATCTAGGAGATGATTTGAAAATTCTTGGAAGTTGAACTGGTTGTCTTGGATCACTGGTATCAATTAGTCCTGGTGTGATAAGATTGATTTTTATATTACTTCGTGCAGCCAAATAACGAAGGTCGCGTGCAAAAGAAATCAGCGCTGCTTTGGTTGAATTGTAAAAGATCATTTGTGGCATTGAAAAATGTCCGCCAATTGATGAAGTAACTTGTATGTTTTTATATACATAAACATTTTTGGTTTTTTAAAATATATTTTTGTGTAAAAGAAAAAAATTATGATCAAAAAACATTTCTTACTTGCAATTTGACCTTTTCCCCTGTCACGCATTTTTTTATATGTTGTCATAACTGTTGCCAATGTACCTACGACGTTCACCTCAAAATACCTAACAATAAAAATTAAACAGCATTAGAATTTGTATATTAATCATATTAGACAATATTTTCAAAATGCAATGATCGATACCTATGCCATAAATCTTCCCATTGATCGGATAATTCTTGATCAGTTGTAATGCCAATTTGGGCTATTTATTAATTAGTCAATCAATAATCAATTTTTATTCGTACGCGCGTATTCAATAATTTCTTTTTAAAATGAATAAATTGATATATTTACCTGCATTTGCAATCAATAGTTCAATCGGATTAGCTTCATCAAACTCATCGATGTTTCTATTTAAATCTTCCAGATTAGTAATATCACAAGACATTACGCGAATAGTTGCACCTTTTTTTTTGCAGGCTGTTGCTACATTGTTTAAACGATCTATGATTATTTTTTTAAAAAAAAGAACAAATCAATAAAATTATATTTCAGAAAGACAAAATTTTTATTGAATCAAGTTAAATATATTTGTGCCTTTATCACGAGCAATAAGTCCAATAGTAGTGTTTGGTCTTGCATAGGCAAGTGCAAGTTCTGCTCCGATACCAGAACTAATTATCGTATTATTATAAATAAACGTTAATTAATAATAAAACAAAACACACACACGTAACTTAATTAAACTAATTTTTTTTTACTTTGCACCAGTAATCAGAACAACTTTAGGATAATCAGAGAAGAGCAATCGCCAAATAGATTTTGGGAAATCCCAAATCAAGAAAAAGGTAGAAACCGGAATTGCAATAAATGTAAACGAGAGCCAAGCAACCCATGATTGAATAACAGGTTGAAGGAAAGTTGGTACGGTTACTGGTGGAAGCATATTCATTATTACTATTACTATTACTATTACTATTACTATTATTATTATTATTATTATTAGTATTATTATTATTATCCTATTAAAATTAAAAAATCAAGAAAATTGATGTATTTTTTTTCAGTAAAGAAATTTATTTGATTTATAATAAATTTAACTATTATTTGACAAATTATGATTTCACAAAATTTCTTTGTTTATATAATCCACCTCATGATGACATTAAATCTTATAATAATCCAGATTATGTCATGTTTGAACGTGAAATTTGCGAATTTTGAAACTGCAAAAGGAATGACATCAAAACTTTAATAAATTTAATAAGTAATTTCGTAATTTATAAATCCTAGATCTTGCTTGATTTTTTTAATATAACACATATTTTGCTTCTTTCCAAAAATGTTCAATATAAAGCATCGCTGTTTAGTACCTTTCCAATTCTTCTCTAGAATTCCCTAAAGAATTATCGGAAATAGTAACCTGTATACAAAATTATGGTCTTTAAATTTTTTTGGTAGGCATTGATTCAAAGCTTTTAATATTTTATCATCCACCACCTGCTATATAATCTGAATAAATCGGGTTAGAGTTGATACTTTTTATTGAATAGATGAGTTAGCTGCTGCTGATCTGTTTCACTTTGTTGAATCAATACTTTTCCAATTGACCCATGAATACTGATGATCATATTAATAGTCGAGAATTTCGAAAATACAAGGCTCAAAAAAAATCAATGAATCCAAATTTCAAGTGTTGGAAATAAAATTGATTTTATTTTTCTTCTTTTGTTTTTAACGCCCCTTAATGATAAATGTTTAAATTTTGAAATGCAGGGAGCGAGTGATTAAAGGATCCAATAATCAATTATTGAATTTGGATGCATCCTTGAAATTATCTGAAAAAACAAGATTATTCTTTTGAGCCAAGAATTTGATTTTTTTTTTGACTAAACTGTAATCAACATTCTTGTCATGTAAAGAAGACAAATTCCATTTAAAAAAGAACATTTTAATCCATAAAGATTCTTCAAACAAGTATCAAATCTAGAATGATTCACCAACCAGTCACGTCTGAAATAAGAGTTCTGATAGTTGTTGAATGATTTGCTAATCGTCCAAATATATTGGTAATAAAATTCAACGCATGATGGTGGTTTTCCCAGCAATCAAAAATTTAATTTTGCGTCAAGAAAGTCTTACCTTCTACCAATAAACAATTAATCAATACTTGAATGTTGTTTTCAGAATAGAATGGATTCATTCCTCCATAAGGTTGGAGTATTAACATCAAGCAATTGTTTGTTTACTAGAATGCAAGATTACAATGAACAGCTTTTTATTTTATTTAATTGAAGGGAAACAATTAATTATTTGCTTTTCAGGAAAGAATAATGATGTTTTGAATTACTGATTGGATAATCAACCTTCTCTGCTATGTAAAATTAAATTAATTTTTTAATTTATGCGAAACACTGAAAAATATCATATAAAAAAAGGCATCATCATGTGATTTTATAATATAGTTTAAATTAACATAAAAATCTAAACTGATTTGTTTAGCCCCCTCTAAAATTCTACTTGAAACTGTGCTCTTTGACCAATTTCAAAAGTCTAGCTAAT